TAGTGCAAACTTTAGCATAATTAAGATTTTGTTGCACAATTTCATCATAAGGCATTTTATCATCACTATCACTCTCATTAGAGGATGAGCTTTCGTTACCTCGTGCCATAAGGCACATACGAGAAGAGCTTGATGATGAGTGCTTGTGGCCTCGTCTCTTGTGATGATGTTCTTTTTTACTTGAAGAATCATCCCATGACCTTATTGATGTGAGGGCTTTGTCCTTGCACGCCTTCTTCTTTGTCTTAGATGTGGGCTTGTTTGGATAAACTTCCACAAAGTGTCCCAACTCACCGCATCCATAGCATCCTCCCTTCTTTTGCTCATTTCTTTGATTGGTGAAAATGAGGTCTTGAATTTGGATGGGCACACCCCTGATATTGAGCCTTTGGATCATCTTCTCTACCTTGTTGATAAGTTTGATTGATTCTTCATCAAGATCAGAGGTGGAGGAGGAAGATTGATCATCATCACTTGAATCTTCATCATCATCATCATCATCATCATCATCATCATCATCATCATCTTCTTCTTCTTCTTCTTCTTTACTTAAGGAGCTTGAGCTTGAGCTTGTCTCAACTCGCTTGACCTTCATCTTCTTTTTCTCACTACATGTGAGAGCTTTGCCTTTGCTTGATGAAGAGGCTTCTTCTTGACGCATCTTGCGTGACATTTCAAATGCCACTATCTTGCCAATGACTATGGCCAGGGTCATGGTGCTCAAGTCCTCCAAGTTATGAAGGATGGTGATGATGCTTGCATATTTCTTTTGTCGTAGCACAAAGATGATCTTCCTCACGATGTCCGAATCATCTAGCTTTGTTAATCCTATTGAATGGAGCTCATTGATAATTGGATTCAAACGAGAATACATATCACGAACAAGCTCATCATCATTCATTGTAAAGGAATCATAATTTTGTTTAGCTAGACAATGTTTTTTGCTCACGGACATTAGATTTGCCGCCATGGAGCTCTTGGAGTTTTAACCAATTTTTATGTGCCGTATTTAAAGTGAACACTTGATTAAACACATACATGCTAAAAGATTCAAACAAGCAATTTTTAGCTCTAACATTGAAATGAATTTCTTTTTCTTCACTCTTTGTGGGTTTATCGGGATTCTTAATGGGTTTCATCCCATCACGAGTGACTCTCCAAACACTCAAATCTACTGCCACAAGATGACAAACTATTCTAGCTTTATAGTAGGGGAAGTTAGTGCCGTCAAAGTACGGAGGCCTAGAGGTATCCATCCCAACCACTCTTAAATAGCATCGGCTCAACGACGGTTAAGCTAAAGGTCCAAATTGAGCCAACCTGGCTCTGATACCACTTGTAAGGGACCGTGACGCCTAAGATGGGGGTGAATTAGGCAACTTAAATTATGGTCTCTTTTTAAATCCTTAGCAAAACCTATGCAACAGATAAATTATCTAAATGTGTAACTACGATTTTGCTAGTGTGTTGCTATCTGTACCGCAAAAAAGAGTAATACAAACAATGTAAATGCGAAAGCTAAAGAGTAAGGTAGAGATATACAAACTCCCGTCGACGACTTTGGAATTTTTACCGAGGTATCGAGAAGCGCGCATGCTTCCCCTAGTCCTTATTGGAGCCCCTCGCAAGGAATCCCTCACAAGGGCCAAGCTCCCGGTCGGGTAACTCCGTGGATAGCTTCAGGCCTTCCCCATGCGTAAGCGGGTCTCCGGTTAAGCCACTCGTGGCAAAGCCTCTCCCGGACCACTCCCCGCCGTCTTCACTATCAAGCTTCCGGCCGAACCGTCGCGGGCCTTGTTCCCTCCGGTACACGGTGGCGGCCACACCACAAACATGGTTGGTATGATCTCACAAGACTACAAGCCCCTCCAATATACAACAATGGTGCGCGCAAGCACCGAGTGGTAAGAGATATGAAAACCTCACTAAACACTAGGCCTAAACCTAGAGCAAGTGCATAAGCGGTGGTCTAATCAACCTAAGCACTTCGCAAAAGCATCTACGCTAATCACCTAATGAATCACTAAGCACTATGCAAGTGGAGATCACTAAAATGGTGTATCAACACCCTTGGTATGTTTTCTCAGCTCCACACACCTTAAATGGCCAGTTGGGGGGTTTATTTATAAGCCCCACTGAGAAAGTAGCCGTTGGAGACGAATTCCACTTTTTCTGCTACTGACCGGACGCTCAGGTCATCCTGATCGAACGCGTCCGGTCGTCCCGACCGTTAGAGCCGCGATCAACTGATCCGATGCTGCTGGCGTCCGGTCATATGCCACCAGACGCGTCCAGTCGTAATTTTGCCGCTCTAGAACCTCTCTGTACTCGATCGGACACTGCAGTAATGCGTCCGGTAGATTTGCCGCCAGCGTCCGATCAGTACTTATTGTGTTATCGGTGATGATGAACAGTGCCATCGGTGCGTCCGGTCGCTGCTGCTGACGCCTGCTGTTGCCAAGCCTCTTGATCGAAGCGTCCGATCACTGCATCCGATCACCTCTGTGAGCTCGTTTCTTCGCGATCTTGCGTCCGGCTTGGTTTCTATCTTTGTGCTTGGACTTTGCTTGATATCTTGGGTCTTCTCTTGTGCTTCTATGGTCTTGCTTATGGTATTGATCATCGGATCATCACGTCGCCTTCGTCCAAGTCACGTCTTGCACACTATTGAACTACAAAGCAATCACTTGTAAATTCATTAGTCTAATTTGGTTGTGTTGGTCATCAAACACTAAAATCCAAAGTAAATGGGCCTAGGGTCCATTTTCCTTACAATTTATTTTCACACACATGTTGCAATTGTATGGTCTAGATGTTTAATTTGTTTAGACGTGTGTTGCATTCAAGTATTAATTTCATGCTGTTCGGAGAGTCAGGGGAGTATAGGAGTGATGGTGGCATGGCATGGGCGATGGGAAATGGGGCGCGGCGAGCCTGGCCGACTGACGTGGCGCGCGACGCGTTGGGGGCCGACGGTCGGGGGCACAACGGGGCGAATGGATGGGGGTAGGGTGCGCGGATGGGGGCGGGTCAAATCGAGGCGGACGGGATGGTTTACGAGCGAGTCCTACGGACACGACAACGACGCGATGCGCATGCATGCGGACAGGGTGAATTAGCAGACGGGGGCTGGTTGTGTAGGCACGCATGTGAAACGGACGTCCGACGTAACCCTATCCTGTCGAACATCTGGGCACCAGGCCGCCAGCACGTCCCAAAGTTTATTATATTATGCACTTGAATAATATAGTAGTTGTGTGTCCGCTCTTGGTAAACTTGTAATTTGGAATATCAAGATTAGATGATAGATTGATAGTGTAAGCAGGAACCATGTTCAACGTAGAAGTAGATTCACATTGTTCAATGCAGAAACCACGTTATACATAGATTTATTATATTATGCACTCAAATAATATAGTAGTTGTGTTGTGTGGCTGCTCTTGGTAAGATGGTAATTTGGAATATAAGATTAATTAGGTGATGGTGTAATCAGGAACCATGTTCGCACTTTATATAGGAAAGTACCGGTGAATGCTGATTTGCTGAATCAAAGCCCTTTCCGGGCGTCTCTTAATCCGCGGAACCGGCCTGGAGGCAGATCGTGGCACGGAGAAAGAGTCTGTCAACCTAACCATTATGTGTTTTATGTAATTTCAACACATATATTTTTTTGCACCATAGAATTAAGATCAAACAGTCTCCATCATTCTTCTACCTTCAGACAATCACAAAATCATAGATCCACAGATCACGAGAAATAATTTTTTTTCTATGCTAGGAAAAAAAAAGTTCCATGTGTTTTCGTCTCCGTTGCTGCGCAGGTCGTAAGGTCCGCTGGTCAGCGTCGAGTCGATGTGGTTGCCGTTGCCAACAGCGTCGTCGACGGTCTCTTGGGAGAGAAGCCAGCCGATCGCAAGGAGCCAGCCGTGACGAGCAACAAGAAAGTCTCTGGTTCCAACAGTTAAAACAAAATGGAAAGAGAAGACAGTTTGAAAAGACAGAGGGAGAGAGGGATAAAAAATTCCATGTATTTTTTTACTAAAATATATGTGTGTTGTATAGTATTTCTTACGTAGAAAAGCAGTAGACATTATTGTCGCCAGCCGACCGTGGGAACAGAATAGTTGAATGAAAGCGTGGCGGCAAATGCCAAGAGCCAACGAAAGGAGGCCCAAAGCAGACTACGTACGCCACCAACCTGTATCGACCAGACCAGATGGAGCGAGGAGAACCTATCCCTCCACCCGGAGGCGGCTATTCTTCTAGGAAGTACCGAGCTAGCACGGACGGGAGAAAGACAAGTAGATCGAGAAGAGAGGTCGTTTCTGGTCGAGAACGTCGGTGACTCTCACCAGAGTTACATTCTGGTGCACGCGTACCTACCTACCGCGCATCCATCGCAAATATGGGCATCCATTTTACAGTACCTCTGCCTACCTGGCCGTCGTCAAAGCAAGAAAACCAGAACGCCGACCGACGCACGCCGACAAGCACGAGCTTGGCAGCCGATCAATGGCCCCATCCGGCACCGACCGTTCGACTCGTGGCGTGTCCACATGCAAGCACGATCTCTAAAGACGACGGAACAGAATCTCTATTACCACCAGCTTGCTAGCTACTCCCAATTAAATCAGAATCTATCTATCTATCTATCTATGGAGCTTGGCGACAGATGGAGCTTGGCTTGCGACATCTGCAGGCTTACAATTCTTGGTCAGCCTAGAACGAAGATGGCTGAGAACACTACGTACAGGCGCTTCCAGTGTCGATCATCTATCATATTCCTTCTCGCTACCTCGTCGATTTACGTGCTCCAGCGGTTGGCACTCTATATAAGGAGGCCATTTCGCTCACTTGAACACCTGTACTGCACAGCACAGCCAACACACAGTTGCATTGCAGCTGGGTTCATAAACAGAGATATTGTCCACAAGCGAACGTACACATATATCTTCTGTCGCTAGTAGCTAGCCTAGGTCCCAAGGTCCATCCTTCCATCAATGGAGAACAACAACGCCAGGAGCAACCCTCAGCCTCCTCCAGGTAACCAGGTTGCATGCATCCCACCTGATTCATCGTTGTTAATTTATCCGAATCTTCTTTGCATTGGTGAATCAGTAGGGTACCCGGCGGTGGGGCCGGCCGAGAAGGGTGGCGCGGCAGGCGGCAAGAAGAAGGGGTCTCGTCGCCGCGCAACGTCGAGCATGCGGGGGGAGCCCAGCTTTATCGAAGGATGGTACGTGCCTGCCTACGCTCTTGCATGTAGCCTTTTCTAAGGCCTAGCTAGACCAGCATTCCTTTGTGTTCTTCTTTTTCACAAGTTTAGATGGCATTTGATTGATGTGTAAGCAAGACACTGATCTGCCGGTGCGTCTCTCATGTGTTCTTTCTTCGTCTCCACAGCATTGCTGCTCTCTGCTGCTGCTGGCTCTGCGAGCTCTGCTGCGACTGAACAGCGCCTACTACGGGAACGGAGAAATATAATACCATGCATAGAAACCAGAGAGATCGATCGGTGTCATTCATAAGTGGAGCTTACTTTAATAAGTAATTTGGTCGACCGCAGGAATAATACTTGTAGGATTGCAGTGTAATCAGGACTTTGTGTGCTAGAGCGCGCGTGTAATTAGTTTAGACGTCTGTTGCTCCTACTAGGGGTATAAGCAGTAGTGGTTTGTGTGCTTCCTGTTTTCTATGCAGCTGTGTTCCATACTAGTGGAGGAACATTTTGTACTATCACGTACGTGCGTTCTGTATTTTAGCTACCCGTGTTCTGTGTTTCAGCTATTATATTTTTATGAAATGGCTTGTTTTAACTTCCTTGTTGAATTTCACAGTTTTAAATTAATTTGATATATGTATTCTCTACTGTGTACTTACTATCATCGGCGATGTCCAGCTTAGGTTCCGTTACAATGACAATGTTCCTTTTTGTCAACACAATGACAATGTTCCTATATTATGGCACCAAATGCTTGTAAGTATTATAATATAAACATTTGAGAACAATGTCTCACAAACCAAGTGCCTTCAGCCTTTTTTTTTTAACTTTCTAAAAAACCAAGTGCCTTCAACCGGTCATCGGCAAGTTAGAATAATCGTGATATGAGTGTAATTAAGTGAGCAGAAAACAAGTTTGCTCACTATTGTATTGTACATATGTTGTGCTTCGATTCACAAAGCGCTCAACAAGGAGTGAAATGATAACAAGTAGACAGGCGGGAACGCTTGCCTCATTTCATTATCAGTTGGCCCGTACAATGCAAGAAAAGGCATTTGTAGTAGTGGGACTTTGTCTATACGGATTGAAATTACTATTTTGCCTCTCCCTTTGACCAACCTTTTACAAAGATCCCCGGTATATTTTGGGTTAGTTTTGGCCTTTTCTCAAGCCCAAGAGTACAAATGTTAGCTTGCTGTGCATCGGATCACCCATCAAGCTTCACACGTCGTCATCGACGAGACCACTTTGCGTCGCCTTTGCCTGGCACTTCAATACATCAGGGAAAACGCAAAGTCGACCATGATCTAGCTCGCGAAGTTGTCTCACCGACAAAAATGTTGCCTCCGATGTTGGACCTGCGAAGTTAAGATGCCATAGGGAAGCGATTAACTCTAGTGTCAATTATGGACGACATGATAAAGTCCAAATCCCAACAGTAGCCCTTCGCATGTGCTGACCAACTCATTGGGTTGAATTCGTGAAGTATTTTATTTTGACTATCCATCCTTTTTTCTCTTAGAATTAGCTTCATAATTTTTTACATATTTAGCTATTATTTAATCATTAACCAACTAAATTTTAGGATGTTTGAGGTGGCATTGTTGTCCTTTTAAAGGCTAGTTTGACCACAAGACCTAGGGGCGCTTTTATTAGAGAAGTTGTGGTGTAAATATTGTTCACCAAGTCGCAAAGCTATTGTCATTTTCCACTTTTTACACAACTTTTACACCTCCTTTTGCTCCTTACTTTGTTCAAAGTTAACTTCATTGAGATATACTTGAGTTCATCATTTGATAAAAGGTCTATCTGTGTGTTTTTGTATTTCCATGCTTCTTTTGCCCTTATTTGTTTTTGTGATTACTGTTTCTTGTGACTGGGACTGAAATGGCTTGATGATGTTGATGTCTCTGAGTTGGAGTTGGTGGAAGATGATTCTAAATCACCTCATTTTGGGGTTTTATTGGTAGATGAGGCATTTATTCTAGATTTCATCGGGTATGTTTGCAGTTTTTGTTAGGCCTCAAGGGAAAGAAGAAACCACAAAGTCCCATGAAGATGAACCCATTGTTTTCAAGATCTTTTTTTGTTGGTCTCCATTTGCCTTGCGATCCTTTGCTTGCTATGATCTTGAGTATTACAACATTGGCCTTCATTACTTGACTCCAAATCTTACCTCGAATATCAGTTTTTGGACTGCCAAAAATCAAGGCCTGTAGCTTAATATTGAGGCCTTTTGATGGGGTTAAGGTTTCCAACTACTTTGGTTGCTGCAACTTCAAACCTTGTCGTGATGCTCCTCATATTGCTCCGGCTACAAAGAACAAGTAGGTCAATGATCCATGACGACATAAAAATTTCATCATAGAAATCGATCTTCTATGGTAGAATTTCATTCGTCATTAAGATTTTCGTCATAAATGTGCACATTTCTACTAGTGTGATTAGCTAAAGATTTTGGTTTTATCATAAATTACCTTGTATTATGGTTCTTGTTGAGGGTGGAGACATGAAGAAAACTTATCCTTTTGCTTCGTACATGGATAAGAGGAAGCTTAATTGTTTTTCTTTGTATGACACCTCTATCATTGTCTAGAAAGTTTATGATGCTTATATTGTGACACATCAATTCAGCGTGCGAAAGATCTTGCTGACGAATATGTTGTTGTTTGTATTTGACCACTTAATTAGTGACGGTTAGAAACACAAAGGTTTTGAGGGGAAGAAATTTTTACGACAAGGTGTACAAAATACTATTTTTATTTGAAGAGATCCAACAAGTTTAAGATCGATACTGATTATGTTTCGGCTATCAAGAGGCAGGCCTATGATAGAATTGACAATTATATCACAAAATAATAGGACTTGAGGACTCTCATTATAAGAGAAGATGCAAAGAGGTTCAATCACATATTTGATCTTGCAAAGATTTCCTATGTGCATGGGGCTCCACTAGTTGTGCATGGGGTAGGTAAAGCAAGTGCTATTGGGATGCTTTGAAGGGATTCAAGTTATTGGAAAACAAAGAAGATTACTAAGAAGACAAATATTTCATGGGGACTTGATGTGCTTGGCTTGGTTGATGAAGATGAGGATTTTTTTGAACTTGTGGGTAAGCCTAGGCATTCTGTTCTCGATTCGGTTCCTCGGTTTTTGAAGAAATTTGGTTCTTAGAAAATAGGTACCAATCGGTTCTCAAAAATTATCGGAACCGACTAGTTCGGTTTTCGGTTATTTCGGTTCGGTTCCGGTTCTAACCAAACTAACCGAACTTTTTCAGAAGTCCTTAAGACAACAATAAATATACGTGTTGTAAGGCAAATTTATACAACACTATATTGATTTTTAATAATAATAATTTATAAGAAAATAATAGCAATATAGTAACACAAATATATACTAGGTTAAATATAAACAACACACATAAACCAAACGTAATCTTCTAAAATACAAGTAAGTGAAGTATAATTCAAGTAATTATGTTCTTTCGGTTAATTCGGTTATTCGAGAGTAGGAACCGAATTTTCTTTGGTTATTTTGGTTCCTCAATATTAGGAACTGAATAAGGAACCGGATTTTTCGGTTTCGGTTCCGGTTATTTTGGTTTAGTTTTTGGTTCTCGGTTAAATTTGCCCAGGGCTACTTGTGGGTCGTATCAATATAGAGGTGATGGAAGATTGTACTTTTTTGAAAGCCAAGAACCCCATGAAGGTTGGTCAAGAAGTGCTTGAAGCTACACAAGCAATGGATGTCATGCCATCAGTGGTTCGAAGACCTTCAAGGAAAAACAAGAAGAAAGGGACATTGTAGCCCTAGTTATCTTTGATACAAAGACATGCATGATGAGGAAGAGGACCAAAAGCAGAAAGATGAAGATGTTGCTTTTGATGTTAGGCTAGCAAAGTTGTTTGTTGATGTTAGCTCTAGTGAATGAGGGGAAGCCAATGTCATGGGTTCGTCTAAACAAAGGGAACATATTTAAAAGTGCAACAGCTTGGATTGCTTTGCATATACCACTTCTCTTGAGGTTATAGTGATTAATGATGTAGGCATTAGTGCAACTATTTTTTGTTAGATGCTAACACGAGCGATGCTCAAGTTGTAGATTTGGAGGATGAAGGTGCCCCCAAGGTCGTTAAGGACTATCTTCATTGCCTGGAGTTCTGCAAGATGCAAGTTGTATCTATTTATGCTTTTAAATTTATTGGCATTAGGCTTGATCAGATTAAGGTGCTTCCAAAAACTACTAAAGCCTTGTTGTCTAAATGCATGGATGAGGCTTCATAGTTCTTGAGGCAGAGGCGATGCTATGGAAAGAGCTAGGCCGAGATATTTGAAGCGATGATTACTTCGTCCTACAACTTGCTCTTGTTGACCTCGTGTCGGTGTTTTGGTCACCGGCAATGACTATGAGCATTGTGTGAGTAGCAGATCTAGATGGGTAGTGCACGAGACATGAGGTTTCCACTGGTTTAGGTACAGAGTGCCCTATGTCTAGTGTATATATGGTTTTATTACTTGTCTATCGTATGTGAGATGTATGGTGAGATGAGGATGTTGCCTAATAAGGCTCTATGGGATGTATGTGTTGGGTTTGTCCTAGTCTAGAGAGCCCTTTCTTCCATCTATAGAGAGCGAGGTTACATGTTGATTTCCTTTTCTACTAGGGTTCATGTCCTGGTCAGTTACATTGCAAGGTCTTCCAAGATACTGGGGATGTAACAAACTATGTCTTGTTCTCCACACCAATGAAGATACTCATATGGATGTAGGATTTTGAGTAGTCGATCAGTCCCAACCTATGTCTGGGGAGCTGGTTATGTCCTCCATGATGATACCTTAGGGTCAAGTTATTGTTAGTATAACTGGGTCGTCCTTCATACTTTAGATGCCTTCCTTGCTCTTCTTGTTCGTCTGGTTCCAGCCTAAGTCCGAATGCTTTGGCATCTAAATGCTTCAAGTCTAAGTGTTCTGGCTGCTCTGAGTTCCTTAGCGTCGATGCTCGAGGTATGCCTTATTGATCTAGTTGTGCATGCATTGACAAATGCACCCACTAGGTATAGCTCCCGAGCCTCCGTCCGATTGATTGGATCAGGTAGATGTCTTATGGTTCTTGTAAGGTCTTCTACCATGGGTGCACAAACAAGGCACCCAGTGGGTGTAGTACGTCCTCAAGTAGCTTAATTTATAGAATTGGGTGGAGGGTTTTGATATGATTTCCATGTAGTTTATGGTAATGAAAGTGCATGGGACATATATGTGTGCCCTTGTTCTTATGTGAGATATCCATCCTAAAGAGGTTTGGTGATTTGTGGTTGTCCCTCATGGAGTCATGGGGTGCATCGAAGTAGAGGTAGTATCTGAACTTCAACAGTGTTGAGTTAGCATACGGTCCTTAGATGATGGCATAACAATAGTTTGAACAAATAGGTAACCAAAAATTGCACGTACTTATGCAGGATCCAATTGGCGACCCTGAAGTGTACTCAACTAGG